TTCCTCCTCCACCACCTATGAGGCCAGACTGTCCTGAGGACGACGAAGCACTGGGGAGCATGTTGATAGCCTGGTACATGAGCGGTTATCACACTGGGTATTACCTGGTACGTGCCACTCTTTGTTTTGAAGTGTCTTTGGAATTTTGCTGCTGCTGTTTGCAGCAAAGAGTTAGATAGGGAGGGCTGGTTTTTAGATCTCTTATATTAATTTACAATTGCTACATTTTAAGGGTAATTTGCATTGTTTAAGTGTTGTTGTGTTGAGTAGCAGTCACATGAGCCAGTATGCATTTGGCATTTTTGCAGAGACTTTTCATGAGTAATTGTTTCATGTGAATGTGAAGGCCCAGCAGAAGCTGTCACCTGTGTTACTGATTCATATTTTCCTCTGTGCACTTAGGAAGAAAGAAAATGAGGAAGATAGGGAGGGTTTGATGCCATAGGATATCTTCAAATGACTAGTTTGGGGATTTCTTGTTTCAGATTACATGTAATTGTGGATTGCTTTAATCTTCTTACAACAGAACAAGAAATACATACTTGAAATTATTCTGTAGAGTGGCTGATTATAAAGAACACACGTAGTTTGGCTTCTGTCCTTTTTTAAACTGCCCATTCTGCTTTCCACAGAGAGTTAAAAGCTATTTGTGATTCGTGAAGGACTGAAAAAGATTGTTCAGAAATATTTTTGTTCTGCCACTCTAGTTTTTACTTCCATATTAGCAAAACCAAGATTATCCTAAATTGTATCCTATAGGGTTTAAAACAAAGTCGAATGGAAGCAGCACTGGAGAGACAAACACATGCAAAATAACTGAATATCATCATTGTTCTGAAGAACTGTAAGTATCACAACTTTGTGAAGATACAGTAGTTTTGGATTCTCTTCAGAAACCCATGAGCTTTGGGACCTCCATCTGCTCTTGGAACTCTCTACAAAGACTGCTTCTACCAGTGTTAATCCCTTCTTTGTTTAGCAGCTGTGGAATAGTATTTTCTCAGCTAAAATGAAGGAAAGTATTATTGCTCTGATGATAGTTTTAACCACAGTGTCTCTCTACATCAAGATTAACAGTACAGCTTATTTAAATTATTAATAGTTAGTAGTGGGCTGTTTTGGAAACAAAGGGTTGTAAGTGAAATGCAGTTTTTTCATCTGTGTTTCCTTACATAGCCAGCAGATGTGTAGCTAAACTGTTTTCAGGACAAGATCAGCATTTCAGTTTGATATTGCTGAGCAGTTCTTGTTCTCATTACTTCAGTGCCTGCGCTTTTATGTGAACTACTTTCATCAGATTTCTGCAGTCTATTGTTCAGTTCCTTATAAAACAAAACTGTATTCTCTTCAGGACTTGTTTTCTGATTTTTCTTGACAACATGTAATTTCTTTGTAGTTGAGTAATTCTTCTTTGTGTGTTTGAAAAGGAAGAAGCTCTCCTATACTAATTTCTGCTTCTTTTTTAAAGCCAGGTACAAATCTTTCCCACTGAGAGGTGTATATCACTGTATCACTGACTGATGGTTGATGGTGAAGAACAAAATTCTATCAAGACAATTAGTCATAATGTTTGCTTAACACTCAGCTGCCCCTGTTAATAAGAAATAACTTGAGTAACTTCATTTACTAGTAAGTAAATGTACCTTGAAATGAGCAATTTAAGACCTCCCGTCAAATGTATTTAGCAAGGACTGCAGCAACAAAGTATTTTTTACTTCCATGAGACAATTTCTAGTCTCCTTACCACAGGATAGATTTAACCTTTTTGATCCCACGTGGTAGATTTCATTTACCTCTCATCTTAACACCTCTTGTATTCCTCAGACGTTTTGTCTGAATGACAGCACCAGAACCTTTGATTATGGAATACTCCTTTACAAAAGAGAGCGCTGTGGCAGCAGTGTGTGTTACGGTGCCCACAGGTGGCAATGGCCCGGGAAACAGTGCACTGTCATAGTAACAGAGACATCCTATGGGTCTGATTAGAATCATGAACATGACAGCTTTATTCAGAAAGACCAGTTTCTTGTTTCAAGTGCTTGTTAATAAAGTTCTACTTTTCAGACTTTGTGGTCTGTTTCTGGGTGGTTTTATTTTTAGCTTCTGTAGACATTTGTTGGTTGGATGAAGGGCTGGAATGTATCCGAAAGTCTTGCTGTGTTGCCTTTTCATGAGTACCATTACTAAAAATAAATTAGGAAAAGCAGACTCTCTGGAAATTGTAATGCTAATTATGGACAGGTTTCATCACTTACCATCTAGGGCTGAATGCTACTTTGCAATTCTACTCTTGCAGAGTAGAGGTGTAGCCACAAAACTAGGCAGTAATTTAGTTAATGCCAGTGATTTGCTTTTCAGGGAAATACAGGCCTCAAGGTTACTGCATTCCCTTCCTTTTCCTGCTGTGGTCAAGTGTCAGAGAATCAGTTTTCCCACAAATTAAGCAAAAAGAGAAAAACCTATTCATAACTTAGCTAAGCAACTTTGAAGGTGTTTTCTTCATTGTCTAGCTGAATTAAGATTGATTGCAGTGATGCAAAGCTTCTAAATCATCTGTTCAGCAATTGTTCATTGCTGAAGAGGCGCAACTGCCCTCTCCCTTCATGGAGTGCCGTCCTTTAACAGGGTGCTCCAGCATGGGTCCTCTACAAGGTCAGGTTCTGCCAGCACACCTGCTCCAGGGAGGACTCCTCTCTTCAAGGGGCCGCAGATCCTGCCAGGAACTTACTATAGGTGCAGGCTCTCCATGGGCTCACAGCCTCCTTCGATCACCCACCGGCTCCTCTTGTTGAGTCCTCTTTCACTCACATTTTAATTAATACATTATTAGCACTTCCAGTCTTGGAAATTAGTTACAACCGTTATTACACATGGCAACTGTTATTCCTGCAAGGAAACTATGAAGTGGAAGAAAAGCAGGGCACTCACCTTTCTGAAGTCCCCTGCCCTCCACACAGCAGCACGCTCCAGTCTTGAACTCACTGCTGCAGTTGTGTCCCCAATCCCACCACAGAATATTTTGGTCTTTTGTCTCTTCCTCAACACTTTATGGTCAAAACCTTCAAGAACTACAAGAGTTCCTCACAGGCTTGCTAATAACCTCACTGACTAACTTACCTTGTGGCAGATCCAGTAAATGGGGAAATAACAAGAATTAAAAAGACCGAAGCTTCCCAGAAGCAAAGGAGACCTGACAGCCAGTAAATGCCAGAAAAAGAGAACAGATGATGGGAAAATTCCTTCCATGCTGTTTTAAATACACAAGATACAGCTGAAATTCTTTATGCATCAGAGAAATATTGTCCCAACAGTGATTTTTCTGGAGCAAGTCTGAACTGCTCTTCCAATAAGAAGAGTAGGAAAGTACACACCAAAGTATTGCTGTGACCACAAGCAAGTAATGGAGTATAGGCCCACAACTTCTAGACAGCTTCTGCTTTCAGAAACAGAAGCTGTGAAGAAGTATGTTATTTAGTATCTAGTAAGAGAAAAAGCTAGAATGGATTTGAAGTGTTCAGACAACACTGTTTTTTCCATTAGGAAATGCTGATTGCAAAGATGAAGATATTAGCAGAAAAAACTGTCTCAAGACACTGTCACCAACATCAGAATATCTTAAGCTGCGCAGGGTATCAGTCTGGCTTGGAACTAAGACCCCACCAAACCCCAGGGCTATGTCCTTTTTCTGCTAGTTTTTTAGGACACCCTTACAGTAATAGGCATAGCTCAAAGGCTTTACAGGGATTTTTTGACTAAGCACAAAATGAAATGGAGGTGAACAGTCATTTTTCTGCCAACACAAGAGAATGGCTGCCTTCTATCCAGCCTGCAGGCATAAATGGTAGAAAAAGCCCAGAAAGAGCTACATTCACAATTGAGAATTTTCCTATTTAACAGACTTGAAAACTGCCTGTGAGAACTGAAATGTAGCATGTATTGTTTGTACGTGGTGAGCATGAAAAAATGGAGCTAACTTAAGGTAGAAGTTTGATTTTTTTGCTTGTTTGCAGTTTTAAGATCCAGTGGTTATACTGCCATTTCTAATCTGACCACAAAGCTCGCCATTAGAAAAATTAAGTCATATTTCACATCCAGAGTAACTCAGCCACTGGTGTATTTACAATCAAAAGATGACGAGAAAACCAGGTGTGACCTACTGCTGCAGACACTGCACCTGTAACCTCTTCCTGAGGTGTAGCACATGACGAGAGTCTTTTGATGTTCAGGTAAGACCACACACTTCCCCTTCTCCACCCACCTTACCATCGGTCGCTCTGGGGGTTTAGCCCAGGAGAGAAGATGATGTGCAGTCCTGTCAACTCACTGTAGCCTCAGAACCAACAGCATCTCTATCTTCAGTACTGAGCCCATCAAACAATCGTTTGTACAAACCCACGCCTTTCCCCTTCACAAGTTCCTTGGCTTTCAGCAACCTTACCTCCTACAAGGAAGTGAAACCACCCAACTGCGAACACAGCGGTAATAGAATTCAGTTAGCTTTGAGTTTCACCATTAAAACCTAAACTATGTTTTCAGCACATTTGTAACAGCTGTATTTGAGCTGTCTTACTGAAGGCCGAGGTGAATACCAACAATACTTGAAATTAATATATGAAATATCTAATTATTGCTCAAAAACTTCTTTGTTGAATCCTTGCAAAAGAATATTTTGCTCTGTAGAACTCCACCATCCACCAAAAGCAAAAGCTTGTTAACAACAGATATGTGAAGCATACTTTCAGGGCTTCTTTTTGAACAAATAATGAAACAAAAGTGAATCACCACATTATCATAAAAACCAGTTTTATCACTTTCACATTTAAAAATATACACATTACCCATAATAACAGCTGGAAAAAGCCAGAGCTTTTTAGACAAGGACAGAGAAAATAGACAGAGGTAATTTAAGAATATATTAAAAGTAATAAAATCATTAAAACATTATGATGCCACTGTTTGTCTCTCTTTAACCATCTTATTCTGAGATGTGTCAGTTAAAATGATGGCTGAATAAACAAAATTTAATTAATGCAAGACTGACATAAATACAACAATTTCTCAAAGATATGGTATCATACAGATATGGGTGCAGGATGCTCGTGAATACAGCCAGGGCAGCAGTGCAGAGAATCGTGGACAAACAGGTCACATTCCACACAAAATGCATTCTGACACACTTTACAGACGTAAACCTGTGTGGAAAGGATAGAAAAACAAGTCAAAATAGAAAAAAAAAAAATCACCATCATAGTACTGCAGTAGGGCAACAGTTGTGCCATGAAAACATGTTGTTGACATCACTGAAACTCTGGAACACTGAAAGTTTCTAACAGCAAGTATATCCACAGGGCTGAGCTTCCAAATGGCGAAGAGTGGAAACTTCTTCATTCAGATTCCTAGGAAATCCCTTCCCACACTTTTATAGACTCTGCAGTCTAAAAACCATGGCTCTTCAACACAGAACACTAGTTAACCATGACATAAACTTCCACAAACATTTTTCTGGTCTTAAGACAACTATACTAAAGGATCATCTCTACTTATCACACCCCTCAATGCAAATTCCAAAGCAGGCTCAACATACTTACATTTTGGTCTTTCATTTCTGCGTGGCAGCCTTGACAATACCTGAAAGCAAAAGTGTATTATTTTAACTGAAAAAAAAAAACAATCAGTGTTTAAAAAAATGTTAAACATAGTAACAATTCATGGCAATTATTTCAGCTATTCAACTGAACTCAGATAACTGTTCATGGGAACTACAAATATTTCTTAATGCCAGAGGTGCCCAAAACCACACAAACATTGAGTGTCTCCATCAGCAAAGAAGCTGCTGCCAGCTATTCTTACTTTGGCGAAAAAAAAAAAAATACAGAATTCACATAAATATGATTTGCATACCGTTCCCCCTTGTATTCTTCCAGTGGAACTTCCTGGAATGCATCCAAAGGAAACAAGTGATGGTACGACCGAGCCAGGTGAGGTGCCGACACCAGTGTAAGACCTGTAAATAAAGTGACATCAAAATTATTACAAAGGAAGACTTACTGAAAAGCTTTTCTGTATAAAATACAGTCAAAAGGAAAAAAAAAAATATTTGAAATTACCCAGTGGTTCAGAGCTTTCAGGAATTCAAAAAATTACTTGTTCCGTTAGCTTCTATAAGCCAAAGCTGTAATCCTTTCCAGCTTTAAATCCTAATATAATAAACAAGCAAATTGCTCAGATTTCTACTGAAAACATTTAACTCTGTCTTTAGAAGTACATTTAAAATGCACAGTGGTATGAAGCTCCTCTTTGGCAACGAGGGTTCTGCTGTATCACACACCAGTTAAAATGCTCTGCTGCAGCCTCCTGTAATACTGCCAAAACCAAGCCATAGCCCTGCTTCGGCTAACATAGGTCTGCTGGTTTTAGCAGTTAATTTTATTCACACTAACAAGTAAATGGCTGTGTTTTGGGATTTGTTCTGGGAACAGGGTTGTTTTCCTTGCTGGTAAGCAGTGCTGACACAGAGCCAAGGCCCCTTCTGCTTCTCACCCCACCAGTGAGTAGGATTGGGGGTGCACAAGGAGTTGGGAGGGGAAACAGCCAGGACACCAATCAGTGCCCCAGCTAAAGAAAGGGATATCCCACACCATATGGCATCAAACTAACCCTATAAAGGTGGGTGGAGGCGGAAGGGGAAGAACGTTCAGAATGATGGTGTTTATCTGCTCCCCTCACTGTTACACATGATGGAGCCCTGCTTCCCTGGAGATTCTGCCAGTGGGAAGTGGTAAATTACTTACTTGCTTGGCTTGGCTTGCACGTACAGCTTTTCCTGTATATATTACACTGTCCTATCTCAACCCATGATTTTCAATTCCCTCCCCCTACCCCACCAGGCAGGGGGGAAGGAGTGAGTGGTTGTGTGGGGCTGAGTTGCCAGCCGGGGTCAGACCACGAGAACAGGTTAGCTGGGGCATGGGATGGCACAAATGTCTCCATCACTCACTCACATGCACTGTGAGCATCTGAGCTCTTGTTCTGCTGATCCCTGCAGCTGTGGAGAATCCACTGCTGGTACACAAGATTTCTCTTTTACGCTACTCCCTTGCTGGAACCAAACTCACGTTTGTATGAAAAACTTGAAATTAACTAGGATAAAGTGGCCCAAAACTGTAATTATTTCATTCTCTTGCCAAATACACACATCCTGGTAATACCTATCACGTTTTAGTCATGTGCCTGTAGAAGCTAACAGGACAGCACTGCTCACTTTAGTATTGATACTACAAAACATGCTAATCCTCCCTCCCACCCTCACTAAGGGCAACAGGGGGAGGAATCATTGGTTGCACAGTTCATTAACATTTGCAAGGGCTTCCATTTACAACTCTACAGCCTGTCATGTGTCACTGTGCAGCCTGCCCTTGGGTTCAACTTGGAAATCTTCCATTCACATATACTCCCAGAGGAGGGAGGTCTTCTGCCTTTTTACTCCAAAGCATTCTATCTCCATGGCCTGGCATCGAGGAGTCTGGAACACTGGTGTGCCTGTCAAATCTTGATTCTTGAGAAACTACCACTCACATACGGATCACCCTTCTTCCCTGCTTTGTTTTAAGGCTTTTAGTTTATAACATTATACCAGGGTATAAGATACAGGTTTACAGTTGCAGGTATATCCTGAAAGTCCCTGGTATGAAGTTGGCATCCCAGGTCACAGGAATGCCAGACTCTTAAAGTAGAGCTGGTTTTTAAGTCTTAAGTATAGTTGAATTTTTCTACCCCTTAACTCTCTTACCACTAACTCCTACTTCATCCACTCACCTCTTCTTGCTACTTACCACAGATTTTGCATTCCACAGGAAGCTCACAGTATTTGGCTCTGCACTGGGGACAAAAATACCCACCCAGTGTGAGACCCGGCTCACTGTTGTTTTCCAATTGCCTACAGCAGAAAGAAACAATTCAGTACCTAAGAGATAACACCATACTACTACATAACTACAAATATTACATAGTTTTCCAAGCAAATAATTTAAAGTTTCAGTAGACCGCATGCAACGGTTCCAGGTGTGTCAGAAAGCAACTGACATGACCATAAGACATCAGCAACCAAATTTTCTCACAAGAACAGAACACAGACCAAATTTTCTCACATAAAGGCACCAATGTATCTTTAAAAAATAAAGTTACGAGTGACAACTGCATTGCTATTTCTATTTTGGCACAAAAATATTCTGTATTGACTATAAGACGCATGTTAGTGTACTTATTCTTTCAAATAGCAGACACTGTTTCCTTCTGAGAATTCAGACCTATATCAGCCCTGAAAACTATGATTCTTTTTATTAAGAAGAGCTCAGGTACAGTAAACAAAAGGCCTCTATTTTAAGCTTCCCTTTACAGTTACATAGGAAATAGATTAAAGATACTTTATTCAGATAATACCCTTCATCCTAATAATTATATTTTATAATGATAATACCTAAATCAAGAACTGCACATAAAATTGGCAGTAATTACTTTAATAGCTTTTAGCACCTTTGTATCCTAATCATTGTACAACACAAATAAGCACCATTTATCATTTTCCAAAAAATTTAAATGCAAAGTTTAAAAAGCATATTTAACAGAGGTTACTATGGTCACATACAGGATGAGCAAATGAAAATAAAATATCTGCTGAGAAGTCACAAGACATTGCTTGCTATTTTTTCATGTTATTTTGAAATATTTTCACTGTAAGGCAGATTTTCTAAATGTGACTAATTGACATTGAATTCTTATCAGTTCACTGAATTCTAATTAACTCTACTTACACCATGCTAAAGGAAGGCTTTGCATCCTGATCAGATAGGGAAGCAATAGTATGCTGAGGAAAACCTGAAGAGGAAAACATATTATTATTACATATTAACAATTTTACACATGCAAGTAATGTGTCAGTTTCATACTTCAGTGGAGAAGTTCAAAGACTATTCTAAATATTTAGGCATATGTCCTTCTTGTTTTTTTTCTTATTACAGTAGAAATAACACACTCTTACTAGGTACCAAATTCTTCCAAGTGCAGTATGTGACAGATGAGACTACAGCATTTTCTGGAGACTGTAATAGGAACCTTTCTTTCTACCACTTATTTTTTACAGATCATGACAAATGGACAGTTGGTTCTCCCAACAGCTCCTCAGGCTTTACCTATAACAAGTAAACCTCTTCAGTATTTATATCTACACATAAAAATACATACATCCCTCTCTGTGAAAGAGGTGGATCAAAGTCAGAACTCAGTGCTCTACTTTGTGGCATTATAGGTCCTATTTTGGTTTAACTTCAAGCTTACATTTATTGAGAAACACACTGGGAGAAAAGAAGGTACCTAATCTACTTGCTGAATGAACATCACAATAGTGCTTCTCACAAATTTGCACTACATGGCTAAACATATGGCTCTTACAATCAATTAATAGTTATAATAGTTGCCTTCTGCTGGGAAAAAACAGGGAGGAACAAAACAGTTTTTCATCCTTCATTTCTAAGTAGCACATTTATAACAATTATTCTACAAGCAATATCATTCCACTTTATTATTTCCGACTGCTGTTGAGTAATTTCTCTGATTTTTTAGTTTTATTTAACACTGACTACTTTGCAGGAACAACATCAAGAAAACTTGTATTTATTTAGCAAAATGCAAGCAAAAATTAAAAAAAAAACCACAACAGTTGCACAATGTCTTTATTAAGCTTCTTAATATTTATAAGGCTTTAACACAGAAGATGCAAAGAAATAGAGCAGACCTTGTGGTCAGAGTTTAACAAAACTGTACCATACCCATTCGAATGAGGGAGCACTCAGAACTCGAACTGGCAGGTGGAGGACTAACATGATGCATCAGCAGTTCCTTATAATGACTTTCATCTAAAATCACGTGGTATGTTCCTGTCACAAAGAAATAAATGCCTCATTCCCAGGTTATGAGCAGATGAGAATACAAACATATACTCCAAATGTCAGGAAACAAATTAAGGAGAAGAAATAATTTATCAAAACCTGTTCCTCGAAAATAGCCTTGTTAATGCTACTGAAACTGAGAAGTTTTAAATTTGGTAACATCAGAATGTTAAATTGCATATGAAGGCCCATTGCTTTTTTCCCAACATTACACTGTAGTAATGATATTATAAAAGTTACCACTGCAGCAATTAATATCAACATGTTACATTGCCTAAGTTCCACATCACATAACTTATTATGGAACAGCAGTTTTGAAAATACATCTATTTCTTCCCTCTAGAGCTGCAGCTACCAGCTCATAATAATTTCACTTACTACTGTATATTTCATAGATTTGGGAAACCCTTTAATTTTCTGTCAGCACAATGGAAAACATTCATCCTTAAATACCAAAATGCATTTAATGAATTTATAAAGCAATAGTTACTTAATTTTGATTTTAAACCCGTGTTAGTAATATAACTACTGAACTTCAGATACATACCACCGGTTTCTCGGGCAAGTACTGTACAGACTCGAACTTCAGCACTTAGGCCGATGACAGATACTCTGATCTTAAATGCTTTTAAACACTTCAAATAGAAAAAGAAAGCATACTCAAATTCATGTGCAGAACAAAAATGAGTAAAAAGTCTTAAATGAAAATTAACTGGTGATGACACTGCAACTGCCTGTTTTTACTCTAACAGCTTAGATGTTCAATGCAGTAGTCAAACTGCAATTCTGTACCTTAATTAGATCATAGATGTTGGCTGGATCACATGTTGTCAGGCTGCTGAAGACTACCAAAATCTCTCTGCTTGTATGTCCTGGCATGTGCCTAAGGAAAGTGCATAGTTAGTTTACTGCTGCACACTAAGCTACCTATATGATAATGTCTACAAGGACTTTAATGCACCGAAGTCATAAGATGACACAACATGAAGTCCTCTACAAATTCTAATACCATCCTTTTCTGAGCACCTGAATTTCACTTTCCATAAGCCAAACCTTTCCAGTACTTAAAATAGAGTATTTGATTGTGTAGTTGTTATCTAACTGTTTGCTCTAATGAATCTCTTGTACCTTATCCACCCTCTCACAGGTAAAATTTACCTTCAAACTAGCCACACTGCAGAAAGTCTTCTGACTTCTTAAAATAAAAATCTCTAATCAGTTTATAAGTGTAAATCCATTTTCCTTAACTACTTTTGGTTCTTAGTTGCAAACTCTCTTCCAGCTAGTCATTAAAATAGTTTTTTATGACACTGACTACTAACTTTGTTCTGTCAGTGTTTCTAGCTACAACCTTTTGTTCAGTCTTCCAAACTGAGATACATCTCAACACCTCACACAGCAAAAAAATGTTTTAAATCTATCCTATATGAAAATTTATCTTTCTAAAGAATGCCAGAACTCCCACAAGACTACTGTGACTCAGTGGTGCTTCTTACCCTGTTCTCTTATCATGAACCCCCAACTCTAACCTCTCCCATACCTCAGCCCTCCAGTAAAAAATAATTATGTCTTTCATTACAAAATCTACATACAATCATCCACTTGGTTTCAAAATGCTGTTGCATTTTATGAGCAGCAAACCTCTAAATACCAGCTTCTTGTGATAGAAAATCAAATTCTGCACTACCAGCATATTTAACTTTTTAACAATTTGTATTGTAAGATAACATAACTAAAAACTCAAGTCAACATGATGCAAGATGCTCCTCAGAAAAATATTCTGTCTCTGCCTCTCATAAAATTCACAATCACAAAGAAAATAAAAAAACCTCCATGTAAATACTAACTTTAAAGTCTGCATGGCCAAATTTAGGGAATTATATAGAGAAGGCTCTCCACTGCAGTTCATATCCACTGCTTTCTTCAGAGCAGTTACATGCTTTTTTGAGTTTCCTGTAAGTGAAAAAAAAAAACCAAAACCAATCAATTCAACTGACACAACAAGTAAAAAAACTGAAACATTTAACTACATATGTAATGAAGTGTACAACAAGTTTTCAATTTGTGACAAAAAACTGTCTATACTTTTGGTTAGAAAATGATGTGCCAATCAGAATGCAGAAAACTATAAAACAATGTATTAACAGAAAGACAGTTACTCTATGGGCATCCAGTTGTTAGAAACTTTAAGAAGCCAACAAAATAAAATCACTGTTGTGTATCATTAAGTGGTCAACATGAATGCAAAGTGTCTCCCAAAGTGTTTTAGCAAATAAAGAGTTTAGTTTATTCTGCTATCCTCAAAGAGTTGTTCCAAGATTGCTTCATCCTCAGTTTCCTCCATAAAGTCTGCTTTATCTCTGAAGCCACAGAGATTGCTGTAACAATAGGCAGGAACCAACAAAACCTTGCTTTTAACACCTGGTCAGATCTCACAGAACACACAGGTGCCATAACATACAAAATTAACAAACACTATACGGGGAAACAAATCATATTTTATCTGTAATCTGGAAAAGACAATGACAAAAAGCACACAGTGACACTCCCAGATCAAAACAGATCAAAACAAAGACTATGATTTCAGATGACTAGCAATAATTTGTCTTTTAAAAATATGGTATCATCAATTTCAGCAGTGTATCAGGTAGAATTTTTAACATCAATGAAACAGATAAAAACATCTCCAATTAAAAAAAAAAAAAAAACAAAAAAAAAACAACCCAAACTAAACTCCCTACCTGAGAGTTCTGTCATTTTTTCAGCTCTTTTACTCTTGGTTACAATTAAGCCAATCTGGAAAAAGAAAAAAAAAATGTCAAAGCATTTCTTACCAAGTTTTAAAATTAGCTGATTTATATTTTTGCTATATTTTGCCTAATACTTCTTTATGGATCAGAATTTCTTAACCATACGAGTCCATACAAGTTTTCTCGTAAGCATAACAACAGCAGCCCAACGTGATGCAGCAGTTAATACAAACTGTATATTTCCGTACTTTTGCATAAAAAGAAATATGTGAAAATTCCAAGTGTCTGAAAAAAATATAATCAGGTCTTCTGTGTCAGAACTGGTGCTAGAATAACAAAAGAGACTGGTTCTTATTTTCACTAGTTCAGGCAGAAACAAGAGTTTCACTAGATGGGATGGGAGGGTACACATACACAGAGGACAGTTTACTAGATACTGTTAAAACACAAAATACCTTTTAAAAAAGCTTTCTATTACTTGTTTCTTGCATGGTTGTACATACCTGACTAATGGGATTTTGGTCAAAGTACTCTTCAACAAAATATTCCAGTAACTACAAAGAAAAGTTAAGACTCTTAGGAACTAATTACAGTTTCATTTCACATGCACCAAGTAGGCGATATTTGCAAAACATCTAGTATCATTAAAGAAAAAGTTGGGGAAAACAAAACAAGGGAATGAGATATTCTTCTCTATTCTTCTTTCACCCCGGCCCTTCTCCTTCATCCCATGTTACCAATGCAATGCAGATTTCATAAACCTGTCCCCCCTTTTACTTTATTCACATCATATGTTCAAGTTCCAGATTCCTGGTGGTTCATATGGAGGTTTCCAACACACCACAAGGCATCAATCTGTACAAAATCATTAAAACCCAGTATTTTGTGCTTTAGTGTTATTAGGGAAGACCATATAGTACAATATGTACACATTCAAGTCCCCCATGCCTGAAACACCAATCCAATTCAACTCCTGACTAACATCCCTTCAAATCAGAATTTATTAAAAAAAAAAAAACAAAACTGAAAGAAAAAATATAAACAATTCTAGCTGTGCAATGAAAACATGTCTGTTCTTCTTTCATCCCCTTATTATGGGCAACAATTAATTTCCACATACTTTTCATAAAGCATCTTTCCCTTATATGACCTTATAAAGTGCTTTTACTGTACAGAAGTGCATGTGCATGGCAAAATAGTGTCACACTATTCAAAACACAGGAAAATTACAGGCTAGCAACAAAAGCAAGGGGGGAAAAGCAGGGATGATAGGAAAGCTGAGGCTATGCACATAAAAAAGACTACAATTTTTCTAAATGCAAAATGCAACTGGGTTTATAGAGGAAGAGTGGCTCAGTAAGAGAACACTTCTGAGTCCAGAAATACCTTCAAAGTGCAAGTAAGTCTGTTCGGTTTTAAGTCTTGGTCCTCCATCGTTCTTGATCCATCAACAACCACATAAAGGTGACGCATCTGCATTTCCACCATAAGAGAAAATCACTCACAGAATACATCCTGAACTGAATTCTTTATCCCATTTACTTAAAAAGGCCACTACTTCCTCCCTCAAACTGGGAAAATTCAGAGTGCTGAGCAATGCAATCAAGTGAAAAAGTAACACTTTTGTCCACTTTTCCTTCAAAATGAAAAAGAAAACCCAAACCACCCCTCTTAAAAAAGGCACACTGCTCTTTTCCTCTCAAGATAAGCTGCAATACATGCATAGCTGGAACCTTCATGTTTTCATCTGAAAGTCCAGCTCAGGGCTGGACTAAAGCAACGTTGCTGTTTACAAGTTGTTTCAGTTACACCCGTTTTTCATGCGATCTCCACCGCAAAACACACCCCGTGTGCCCAACCTCTGAATTCCACCTCTGAATGCTCATGCTTCACATTCACCCTGCCATCGAGCAAAGAATGTTTAAAAAAAAAAAAACAAAAAACGGTGGGAAGCACAAGGTTTGGTCTCAAGCACGTTAGGTCAGCCAGAATGTCTTTCAGAGCAGGAACACCACCTCTAGTCCAGTAGCTCTGGACCGAGGACAGAAGAGGGTGAAGATACCAACATACCATTCCCAGTCGAACTTGTCCATGGTGTTCATAGAGTCTATCAAAACACAGAAGGATTTAAGTAAGATGCAAATGAACAAATGGCCCCTAAAACAAAAGCCCAAAACAAATCTTGAACTAGACTTCTGCCAAATATGCAGCAGTAACAAACTGCAGACGCTTATTTACACTGACAAATCCCACAACTCAACCGCAGACTTCTAGACTCTCAGAAAACAAATAAAAACTATTTCTTAATACGAGGTTTAATGAAGCTCTAAAATTTTATCCAAATTTGAATGTTTTAACATAACTTGAAAGCAAAAGTTGGATTTTTTTTTTTTCTGGAAATTTTTCTGAAATTTGAAATAGAAATCTGGTGCCATGATACCAAACCCCAGCTTCTGTTGTGACAGGGAAAGGGGCAACGTTTTTAACTAAAGCAGAGAGGGTTTGTATTAGATATAAAGATGTTTTTGTGATGGGGGTGGTGAGGCACTGGCACAGGGTGCCCACAGAAGCTGTGAAGTTGTAGATGCCTCGTACCTGGAAGCTTTTAAGACCAGGTTGGATGTGGCACTGAGCAGCCCGGTCTAGGGGGAGGTGTCCCTGCCCCGTGGCAGGTAGGTTGGTACTGGAGGAACTTTGAGGTCCTTTCCAACCCAAGCCATTCCAAGATTCTACGATTTGCACGTTAAAAAAAAAAAAATGCTGGAGGATTTCTCTAAGCTGCCCAGATTGCGACTGCAGTGCTCTGCACCGTGCTCCATCACACCAAGACCTGCAGCTTGCATAAACCTGGGGCATCCAACCTGCATACACTCGGTGCTTACAGTTAAAAGTTTTGAAATTTTACAATTTCTTACAGTGCAATAAGAAGCAAGCAGGAAGCATGAAGGGGTAAGGACACAAAACCCCACTCTCAGGATGATCAACCAAGGGCTATCTGCGAGCCTGTGGCCACGCAAAGTACCTTTTCCTCTTCGCCTTGAACAGAATGTCATCGATGGTTGCTTTCAACGACCCGGATTCGTCTTCTTTAAGAATTTCCCTACGCAGAGCAGAGTGTTAGCGAGCGGAAGGGAGATTTTTTTTCTCTCCCCTTTCGCCAGAAAGAAGGTGAGGGAGGGGAACGGGGAAGAACACACCATGTCCTTTCGTAGCCTCCTTCCCAGCGCTTGGTCCGCTCGGGTTCGTCATCCATCTCCGCGGGAGGCTGGGGCGGCTCGGCGGGCCTGACGGGAGACGAAGGGGGCTCGGGGAGGGCTGAGGGGAGACGGAGGGGACACTGAGGGGGTGCTGAGGGGAGATGAGGGGTGCAGAGAGCACTCAGGGCAGCCGCGACCGCCGCCAGGCCCCGCCGCCCCGGGCACGCCCGCCCCTCCTTCGCCTCGGTGCGCCGCCAAACCCTCCCGGCCGCCGCCCGGGCCGCGCAGCCACCGTTCCGGGCCCGCTCCCTCGCGTTTGGTGTTAACGCGTTTTATGTTTTGCATCCGCCTAAAATAACTCCGAGCGTCCGTCTGGTGTCACCGAGGGTTCCCATTTCGTAAGCGTCGCTGTGAGGGCTGAGTCAGAGCCAGCGGAGCTAACTAAGCGCTGGCTTCTCCGAAGAGCAAGCCGAAACTCCGGGGATGCGGTGGAAGCGCTCCAAGGCCGGGTTTCAGCTCTTCAATTACAGGAAAGGTGCCGAGCATCCGTGTCCAAGGGGGCTCACAGGGGGTACGTCACTCTGCACCCAAGTAAGACAATAAACGAGGAAGAAAACGTGTAAACAGCAGTAACACTTCCTGAAACGGGAGCAGGGAAAAAACTTGCCACTTCTGCTGCAAGCCTGTTGGGCTTGTATGGAGGAAATTACAAGGGAAAGAGAAGTGAAATTAGTTTGCTTTCAGTTAAACCATGGCTGGGGAAAATCTGGAGTTTTTTAAAGGAAAGCTATCTGCTGAAGACAGGAAAAAGGGGAATATTTTAGTTTGAGAAGCCAGGATTTGTTTCTTGGAACTGAAATAGCTGTAGTTTGATCTACTCCCATTAGTACACATGCCATCCTTTCTTTAGGAGGAAAAAGTCCAAATTATAAAACGGTGAAAAGGAAAATTGCTGCAATCTGACAATTTTAATAGGAGAGAAATGAGACTTCTTTCAGAACAGGGATATTTTTTTATTGTCAAGGCCAAGAATTTCAATACTGGACTGGAACACAGGATATAAAATAATTTTGTAGATTATGATTGTCCAAGTGCTAGAAATTCCATCACAATTTTGAGATTTACAAACTAAATACTGGATACCTCCTTTTAGAATTTCAAATCAATTAGGTTTTTCATTGCCGTGAGTATGCTGTCATGGAAGCTAGTCCAGCTATTGTGCTATACAAACTTCTGGGTACATTTGTTAGGCACTGCTTTATCTGGCCTGAAAAAATGTACAGTTTGATAAAAAGTATGCAGATGTTGCCACAAGTTACCTTGATCAAGGATACCCAGCTGTTTACTAAGACAAAAAGGAAAAACCGACAAACAAACAAAAAGGTCTCCAGTTTGGAAACTATTACATTTATTCCTAGAAACTGTAAGTCTCTTGGGTAATTTGCTTTGTAGATCTGTGGAGACAGGGAAGCATTTTGTAAGAATAAAGCTTCTTATTACACACAGGGTCTGAGGATAATTGGAAGCAGGAATCTGAGGCTGTAATTAGAAGGAGGCACTACCTGCCCATGGATGTAGGACAGTATTACTTGATAAGATTCAAATACATGTTAACGACACCTTCTGCAAAAATCCAGTCACACAAGTAAGACCACATGGACTGTTAACATGCCTATGCAAAAATGAAGAGTTGAGCCCAGAGACTCTGCATGAATAGACTGAGGTGATAATCACTTATTAACTTCAGCTTTGTCAGGAGTACACATTCTATTCTTTCAGGATATCAACAGACCACTTGCCCTGATAGCTCTGATGGTAACTAATTTTTAATTTCCTCCTAATTTTTGTCTTGCTCCAACTTGCTTCATCTGCCAGCCATTTATTCTTATTTCGTTAATCTCAATTTCTTTGATAGATGAAAATGTTTGTTACACTAATAATTCTCCTGTGGCATGTTTACAGCATTGTTGACAACTGACGGGCTGAGAGTGTGCAGAGAAAAAACTCTAGGCCAGTTTAGTGTGTAAGATAAGATAAAAAGAGCAGGTCCTTTAATCAAGCCCTCAGGCCCAGGGGAATACACGCAACACGCTCACACACAGGCAGTGGTTCTATGGTTTTATAATAAGGTCCATCCAATCCCAGATTTATCCATCCCCTGGTTCTGCCCAGTTCTGCTCCCTGACACACCCCTTTCGGAACTGGGTCTGGGGTCTCTAGGACCCCTTCTTCCTCATCTTCATCTTCTTCACAGCACGTACAGTCCTTGGAGCTCCTCCAAAGTTCGGGGCTTGAAAGTCGCTTTGTCTGTTGCGATATCTTTTTGTTCAGGCCCAGGGTGCAATGTTCTTAAACAGAGGGTGTTTTCTACAGTTCTACCTTGAAAAGAAGTCTAAACATGCTAAAGGAATTTGGAAAGTTTTATATAAAATGGGGTAATAGGGTTGGGTACTTGTAAACTACTGTGCTAAAGGGTAAGGAATTATACAGCTACATTTAAATCTACATTCACTGTACATCTACTTCTGTAATGGACAAAAAGCTAAAATAAAATCCGAGAAGCTCTGAGGCATCACAAGAAAGACCTTTTTCAGTCCTCCATTGATAGGTTAGAGCAAAACTAGCTGATTGTATGCATCAAAAGTGCCTTAACAGTCCTGAGGCCCCTAAGAGATACAGGACTAAGCAAGTAACTTACTGTAACTTAAATGGTTGCAACATGTTGCCCTGCTGAAACTTAAGGACGCCCTGCATGCCTTGGGATGGTAACCTGGGAAGTCCACTGCCAAGGTAAATAAATGCCTTCTCGTGAGGCTCCATGCTCAGCAAGCCCACTGCCATGCATTGCACCGATCCTGCTTGGAACCCAAAAGCAGTCAGAAACGAGTATTTCTCTCCCCAGCTTCTCTCTCCCAACTTTTGGAAAATCCCCTTGGCCACAAGGGTGGCATCTTTCTAGGAAACATGGACCACACCCAGTAACATAGCTATCCACATAACAGCTATCTCCACTTGGTTTATTCCCATGGTCCAGCCACAGGCATGGTGTTCCGTTTTTCCAGCTCCTTTGCTGGAAACTTTGCAGGAAAGGGGAAGCACAGTGGTTCTTCACAAGTTATGGAGACACTGCTGAGGGACCAGGAGCCAGTTCCTCAAGGACTGAAGCTCAAGACCACCGTCAAAGAGAGCCTGGGGCTGGATGTCAGTGTCCTATGGAAGGAAGACCTATTAAGGGTGCAGACCATAAATCTTCCAAAGAAAACACCAGTCAGCTTATTTTTAGCACTTTATGAACACCAGCTGATCCTTAAAGTTGCATTCATCTTCTTCTGTAACTGATGCAATGCCCACAACTCTCACTGAGAAAAGGAAGAGAAAACTGGACGTATAGTGAGAGGTCATTTATTTAGATTTTGGGGATTTGGACAAGTACCTCTCTTACAAAGAACAGTTTAACAAGTATACAGCGCAGCAGGTATAAGCACTTGGCCCATCTCCTTTATAAAGTAGAGAGATTTCCTGTTTGAAATTAATACAAATTAATACAGAACCAGAGAGAGAGGCATCTGAATAGAGAGGGGGAACAAGGCTGTCATCTGATTATAGACTGATGAAGAAGTCGAGGCACCTTCGAGGTAGATGGGACTGAAGCTTTTCAGATGAGGAGGTGCCAAGTTTTCCAGTTCTCTCAGTGTTCCTATGGTGTTTTGTGCTATTTACTTCATCCACCAAAATTCTAGGAATTAAGTGGCTGCTAAAATTGGAATGTCAGCTTCATAAGTATAAAGGTGGGTGTGTGGCCATCAGGATTGCAGTGTGAATGACAAGGGCTGAGAAGTCAGAAGGGGTTTAACTGTCAGAGTGAGGTATGTTAACAGAAGTGAAGGACAGAGGTAGTACTACCATGACCATTCTGAACTGGAAACAGCTTTCCTGATGTCTTTCCTTTAAATTAAGGCAGAATTTTAAAACTTTCTTTTAAAGAAAAAACAATCACTAATAAAAATTTGCAATAACCTTAATCAGAGTAGCTTTTTCTAACAAAATGTCTTTGTAAGCAATAGAGTAATATGGATGGTTTTTTTATATTAAAATATATTTCAGAACAGACAAATTCAGGTTGTAAAAAACTGTACAAAGAAACTACCAATGCTTCTAACAATTTTAGTACATAAAAATAATTAACAAAGATGTGAAAAAGGATACAAAGTTTACTGGCTTATGAAAACATCTGCACATACAAACCTATCCCCATGATAATATCCCCAAGAAAATATAAAAATATATATTGAATTTATGCCAATATGCTCTGCAAAGAATGTTTGTTAATACATTTTATCTGGCCTTAAAAATGATACTAACAGTTTATTCTTTGAATTAATTAATTTGGCGTAACTCTCTGAATGCCAAGTTCACGGACATCTGCTGCCTAGACAGGATGTCCTGTTACTTGCTAATGAAGAATAAAGTGTTTTGCCTTTAAACACCTGTACTCATCCTTGCATGACCCAGAAAAGGCACGCAGAGCATAATGACCTACAGCAACACTAATGGAACATTAATGTGACTCTCATCCTGTACCTCTATTCCTTTAAGGCCATGTATAAATTTGTGGCATTATCTCTAAAGAGGGGAATAAAAAAAAACAAACCCAAGTACCCCTCCCCCCGTTGCTTAAATAGGAAATTATTTTTCATCTCTTGGGTGAAATTCAACACAATTTCTGGCACACAGCACAGCATTTGGAAATACAATACAAAAATTCTTATTAAACTAGCTTCTGAATGGCCAGAATTATTCAGTATGATTAAACACTCCATCAAAATCCAGACAGAAAGAATAGCTCAAGTCTTCCTGATATCATTAAATGTCACTTCTAAATAGAATCTGAAATTGTTAACAGCATTTCTATGCAAAATTTCCACACGGTATTTAGAACTGCTTTCTCTGGTGTACTTGGCAAGTTTGCAAATACAGTATTTTCAAATAAAGCATCCATATTAAGAGGCCAGGATTTCCACTAATGAAAGCAGAAATGTTAGCAGAGGTTTTCTTAAGTTATCTGATAACTTCAATTACATTGATTTAAAATTGGATCTTCATACAAAACCTACCAGTAATGTACAACATCTAAGTAAGTGACAGAATGATTAACTAATCCCCGTAGGTGTACTGTTGTGGGAGTAAATAAATAGGTTAAAATATGGATAACAATTTTAAAAACAGAAAATAGTATCCATGAAGGCATAGCTAAGTTTCTACATTCCAGTTCATAACTTTATCATAGTCCTGAATTCGTTGTTTTATGTGAGAAAGCTTATTCTTTAGATATTCACAACGCTCCTTTTTCTCCAGAAATGCAGGATCCTGCCAAAAATATAAAAACCTTTACATTAATATATAAGGTTTTAATATTCTTCTAAGAATAGTCTATTATCAATTATGTTCTTGACAGAGGACAGTATATAAATTGTCTCCAAAATCACTTTTTTTTTTCCCCTGGACACAATTTTTTATGTCCTGCTTCCCCTTCCTTCATGAAAGGCTAGAAAAAGATGTTCTGCTTTTATATGCTGTAGTTACTTAGTAAACAGAGAAGTTTTAAAACAGAAATCTGCAAATATAAATCTCATCCTACTAAATACTTTAGATTTTATAGGTGTGCTGTAGAAAGTGCAATAAATCCCCTCCACCTTCCCAAAGCTATGAGGTTTAACTAACATGGGCACAAACTTTGAATTCCATGGAGGAAGAAAAATGGTATTTGTAATGTATTATGTTTTTAATGGAACACAAATACACATTTGCTCTCTGCTGTTAAAAATGACAAAAGAGAAACCTCTGGGATTACACTGAAAATTACTTTTTGCCTCAAAAAATACAAAACTACTTTTCTAGGGTAAGATTATGTTTTCTGTTATTATCTGTTGGCTGTGTCACTCAGTGAATATCAATGAATCCCAAATGGATCCCAAAAATAACTAGTCTGCTGAGTGCAAAATACTAAGAGATGAAACATACTCTCAGAAGATGAAAATGCTAAACTGTTTGCTTGTGGTTTAGTTTTTTCTTCCACATCTGGCTTCTGGAATCACTATTCTCAAAACAGGTTGTTGGTAGGAGTGTGTGAGTTGTGTCCTAACTTTGTCAGAGTTTTAGAAGAGAAAATACACATTGCCCTGATGTATCTACAGATACCCTGAGCTACTGAATTGTGCCTAGTGTCCAAACTGTTGGCTATTTACATTCTCTTTGCTATTAATTAGATTCACTAGCAGTGTAAATCTAAAAATACTTACATTTTTTTTCTTCTTGTATTCCTGCAGAACTTTTGATATCCTTTCCTGTTCCTAATGAGAGACCACAGATTTTTAAACACTTTGAGTATGCTCCATATCTTCATGTAATACTCATCAAAGGCAAGATTCTCATTTTATCAACACATTATAGTTGTAACATTTCAGTTGTAAATCTTGTATTTGAGAAATAGTGGAAGTACATTAATTGTGATTCACTCAAATGTAAAAGCTACTTGTATGAGACAAACAAATAAAAAAACCCAGAGAAACAGGTATATGTCTTAACTACACCTTGGTGTTCTTAACTAATGATCAGACAGGATGTCACATATATGGGAAAACTTTTTCTACCACCAGGTCGCAGCCAGCCCTACAAAACAGTGTATCCTAGCTAAAGACAGTCAAAAACTACCAAATAATACCACCTAATACCACTGTTTTCTGTGAGCCCATTTCACAGGTACTTACATATATGCTTTCAGGATGGTGGGGGAGCTGTTTCAGCAACGCATCCAGCTCATCAAACTTTTTTAATACAGCGTGAACTTCCACAGACAGTTCTTTATACTCAGCAAACTGATCATTGAACACTGCTTTGTACCGATCTCTCATTTCATTTGTTTGAATTACTGGGTATTTCCTTAAAATAAAAAAAGTTTAAAAAAAGAGTTTTCAAGGACTAGTTTTAGAGATAGGACTTTTAAACAAACACTTGGACCCTTCACCTTGACAGTGTATTTCTGTATTGTTTGCTAATCTCACAACCTGCTGAAATCTGCATGCCTGTAAAGCACTGAAATCACAGAACAGCTGAAGTTGCAAGAGACATCTGGAGGTCATCTGGTCTAACCTCCGGCTCAGTCAGGGCCACCTAGGCCAGGCTGCCCAGGACTGTGTCCAGATGGCTTTTGGTATCTCCAAGGATGGAAACTCACTCTCTCTGGGCAACCTGTGCAGACCTTCACAGTGAAAAATATTTTCCTAATATTCAGATGAAATCTCCTGGGTTTCAGTTTGTGCCCTGGTCTGTGGCAAACAGTATAAAAATTAATTTATGATCTCATAGTTTATCACAGAAAGGTCTCTCCTCTAAAAAGCAGCATGTTACAGATTTAACACTTAGGAAGTACGAGAGTAGTCAAACTACAGGAGCTAAAAAGGCAATTTCCCCATGAATTTTATTTTTTTCTATAATGTCTGTACGGTGGTCTTTTGTTCCTTCGGCAGTTACTGTACTTGCTAGATGATAACTTTCTCCTTTAACATTTGAGGTGTGCGTGGGTTTGTTTTTTCCATTAAGAGTCTTTATTTATAATTATTGGTTTGTGCCACTGATACCAGCCCCCATCCTCTCTACCTTTTAACATTAACTTAATAGAGGATCACGAGTTCCCACAGCACATGCATGGCATAGAAACCACAAGTGCATATATGAGAACTGCTGAGTGAAAAACATCATTCAAGTATTATCCACTAAGTTGGTTCACCAAAGTCAAGTCACTTACGCTAAGTAGTCTGGCATCACTATAGGTTTAGGAATGTGGCCTGCAGGTATATGACCATTAAGGAGTTCTGGTTTTCTTTCCACTGACTTGAGCTGCCTGTAACCGACTTCTTCTCTTGGGCTGTCATCATCTTCATACTGCTTTAAAAGAAAAAGAATTTGTTCTTAACGAAGTCAGTTTTACATAAACATACAATACGCAACTCATTTGGAGACAGAGATACAAGTACCTAGAAGCACTAGAAGCAAATAACAGATATTTCTTACAACCCTTATTGTAATTAGAAAATCGGTAGTGAGTTACAGTATTGTTTCTCACGCAGTAATTCTTCTTCAGTTTGTCCTAACAGCAGTACTAGTGACAGATAAATACTTCTTCAGGTTTGGAAAGATTCGTTTGCCTGTCTTAAAAATACAATTTAAGGAAGTTTCTTTGGATATCCATCTAATTTTTGAATGAACAGGAATCATTCAGTTCTCTGGACTTCCCTTTTCTCTTTGTTTCCTATTAACAGAATTACAGAATATGCCAAGCTGGAAGGGACCCACAAGGATCATTGAGTCCAACTCCTGGCCCTGCACAGAACCATCCCCAAGGTCACACCATGTGCCTGAAGTATCATCCAGACTCTCCTGGGTGTGGTGCTGTGACTGTTTCCCTAGGGAGCCTGTTCAGTGCCCAACTACCCTCTGGGTGAAAAACCCGTTTCCAATATCCAACCTAAACCTCGCCTGACACAACTCCAGGCCATTCCCTCGGGTCCTGTCACTGGTCACCACAGAGAAGAGATCAGTGCCTGCCCCTCCTCTTCCCATCATGAGGAAGTTGTAGACTTCGATGAGGTCACTCATTGGCACAGTTTATCCCTTGATCCAGAAATAGAAAACATGTGCAGTCTCATTGGAACACGTAAAAAAGGATCCTGATCTAGTACCGAACAAACAGAGAAAACAATGGTAGGAAATTCACAGCATCTATAGGAGACATTTAAGACTGAAATTAATACACCATAATTTCTCTGGGAATCGTCATGTCCTATTAAGATCCCATAGAGTCTTTGCAGCATACGCAACCACACCTTTGTGTGGCAGAACCAGTCACACTGCTGATGCTTCAAAACCAGCAAGGAGGTCTTTGGAGCAGTCTCAGAAACATAGGAAGAAGCTCAGCTCAGGAAGGACCTACTGTGCTTCCACTGGCTCTCCTGCAAATGAAGTACACAGCCAGGAAGAAAGTCTAAAACTTACCAGACATCTGACCTGCTGTTTTAGTCATGTCTGCCAAACCCAGTGCTAAATGCTACAGAACTTGTCGCCTTTTAAGAGAAGGTAAGAGCACATACAGAGGCAACCCTTGGATCTGCTATTTACAGTCTGTCTTATAACTTCGCCTTATGAGGAGTAACTCCTTTACAAGCTTCATCCGAATCTTCTACGTAGAAGAATCATGAACAAACTCAGTTAAAGAATTAAACCTAATCTCTTCCAAATCAAATAACTAAATAAACAAGTCAATCAAATCAGTCACAAGAAAAAGAATAACAATTTAGAATTACCAGTAAACAGAAAAATAAATTCCCATTTCCTACCTTCTTTTCTGGAAAAGAGGACTGTGTTTTCATCTATAAAAAAAAAAAAAATATGGAAAGGACTATGTTTTATTTTCAGCAAAAATAGTATGCAAAAGCACAGACTTCTAAAATCTTGACCTTTTCAAAATCATGCTGCTAAGAGAATTACGTTTAAGTATGAAGAAATTTACCATATGAATATTTTCAGACCCATTGCTTTAAAGACTGTTTAGGAACAGCAGAAAGAAAACAACCACCCAAACCCCAGAAGGATTTCCCAGAGCATAGCTGTAAGGAACAGCTTGCAGGAAATACTCCATCCACTTCCCAAGCTCCTTTATTATTTCACATTCCAGCCCACGATAACTCACTAACACTCTGCACCCTAATTCATTGAGTAGAAAACACAACAGTGCACGAACCAGTAGCTCAACCTGCTGCTGTTTTGCACAGCACTCTCCAATCCTAACCTCTATCATAAAAGCATTCTCTTCAGAAATATTTAGTAATGGGAGTAAAAGGACTTGGACAGTAACAGGGAAGAATGAACACCTGCTGTGTAACTCCAGCAATCACCTCATTCTTGCAGGACATAAATTATAAGTTGCTTAAAAAACTTTTATGTACTTTTCAAAAGGAGGGTCGCAGCTTTATGCAAGATGGTGGACTGGGAAGCAGTGCTGAAGTGCTGCAAAAGAGTATACAGTCACAGAGCAGAGGAAATGCAACTTTAAACTCACTTTCTCCTACTAATATCATTTACATGCTGACTGCTCCTTAAGCTGGGCTTATGTAGGCCTCAAGTACATTTATTTTTATGTTATATCAAATCTTATCAATTTTTAAAGGGTTTTTTTTTTTGGTGGTGGTGTTTTCACACGAAGGAAGTTTTACACAAATTACTCTGAAATCTCTAATTAAGAGTGTTAAGTCTCTGCTACTATAGTTTATCATTAACCAGATGCATATTGAATGTTTTGTGTACGGTCAAGACCAGAAGTCAGGCAAAATACCTGCCCTGAAAAAGATAAGGCTGACGGAAATGTGACACACCGAAATCTAGCCCACTCTGTTATTATTTTCTGGTAACTATTGTAACGAAGGATGGAAAAAAAGTAGCTTGGAGTTTCGTTTGCAAAGTAAAAAGTATTTGGCTTTCTTACACTTTCACCCTAGCACTTGATGCACTGAAAGCACAGTTTTAAAATAAATACTAGGTGGCTTTAAGCCTAACCCTGCCGAACAGATGAACAAGCACATTGTTCATTTCTTCCTTTGTTTGGAAAATACACACCAGGAAGTAGTTCATCAGCTGACTCAGGAAGAGAGCCCAGTATTACAAAGAGAACAGAGCCAGGGTGAACTATTAAAAAAATAATAAATAAAATGTCCAGGAACTTGGGTCTGACATCTTAAAAGGTCTTTGATCTAGCAGTCTCAAATAATGTAAGACTGGTTAAAATTCACCCTCAAGGCTATGGACCTGCTGCGGAGAAGACACCTGATACGACTCCATCTGCGACATAGTAAAGACCTCGCAAGTGCTCCCCATCACGCTGTACCCAGTAGACATAAAATGGTAACTAACGACTTACCTCCTGTTCCATTAATTCCCTGTGCCTCCTAGCCGCTTCGTGCCTCCATAACTTTAGAGAAACCACTGCGCTAATTAGATAGATGATCACCGTGACAAACAGGAAGATGATTGCTGCAGTCTGACCTCCTTCCACACGGCAGAAAGATGCGTTTATCGGCGTCTTAAACAACTGGTAATAGCAGAGCCCACCTCGGTTGGTGTCGTTTACGTACACTATGGCAGCCGACATGTAGAGAAAGAACAAGGCCACATTGATCCCGAACTCGGTCAGAGGCCACCAGTTGGAATCAAGGAGGATAGTCCGGTAGTACATGGACATGCCCAGCACCAGCAGCACTATCGTGACAATCCACGCCATTCCCGCCACCACCAGAACGAAAGGCGTTTTGGGTCCGCTGTAGGAGTATCCGCTGTAGGCGCTGCCCGCCCCGTATCCGTAGGGCTGCGAGTACCCGAACATGTTGTACCACTCGTTGTCCTTGTGCACGTAGGCGGTAACACAGGCGAAGACGGCGGCGCCCAGCAGCAGCTCGGCCACGCCGAGGATCCTGAGCAGCCCTGCCCAGGACTTCATGTAGGCGTACCGCTGGTGGTACTCCTCCACCCGCTCGCTGTACGTCTGCCCGGTGCCGGCGCGGCGCTCCAGCGAGCCCAAGGGGTCATCGGAGGGCAGCATGGCCTCGGCCTCCTTCCGAGAGTTGTAGCTCCCGCCCGATCCCCCGTAATGGTCCCTGTAGGAGCCGGGCACCCCTTTCGCCCCCGGCTGCGGAGGGGCGGGAGTGGCCGGCGGCGAGCACTCGACCCCGTCCGAGATGTACCTGATGTCGGAGGCCGTGCTGTCCCAGCTGGAGCCGGGGTGGCGTCTCCCTTTGAAGAAGTTCTTCCACGAGTCCGGAATGAACCGCCGGACCGGCTTGAGCTCGGCCGGCCCGCTGGGGCCGGGGCTGCCCCCGGCGGGGCCGAAGGGCGGCTGCAGGGGCAGCGGGGGCGGCGGCAGCGGGGCGGCGGCGGCGGACGCGGGGCTGGCCCCGCGGGGCAGCGGGGACCGGCCGGTCCGCCCGCCCTGCGAGCTCCGCGACATGGCCGGCGCTCGGCCCGGCCTCGGGCGCTGCCCGGCCCCGCTCGGCTCACCCGACGGGAGGGACCTGCCGCGGAGTCCGAAGGGCAGCCGGCGCCGGGCGGGGCAGAGGGACGAGCCGGGCGGAGGAGACGGACGAGCAGGGAGGAGAAGACGGACGAGCCGGGCGGAGGAGAAGGGCGAGCAGGGCGGAGAGCGCCCACCGGGCGCAGCCCCTCAAACACCTGCACCGCCCCGGCGGCCTCACCTGCGGCGGCCCCACGGCCTTCGCCCGGGGAGGCGGGAGCTTCCGGGCGGGAGTGGCGGGACCGCCCCGGCTGGGAGCGACGGGAGCTTTCCCGAATTCCCGGTGCCAGCGGGGGCGCGGCCGGTGATCCCGCAGGAGGGCTGAGCGCGGGGGCCGCAGAACCACTGAATGGGGCAGGTTGGAAGGGACCACACCGGGTCATCTGGTCAGGCAGGGTCACCCCAGAGCACATGGCAAGGATTGCATCCAGACAGTTCTTGAGCATCTCCAGTGAGGAAAACTCCACAATCCCTCTGGGCAACCTGTTCCACTGCATGCTCACTCCCCCAGTAGAGAAGTTCTTTCTCATATTCAGGTGGAACTTGCAGTGCATCAGTTTCTGCCCTTTGCCTCTTGTCCTATTGCTTGGCACCACCAAGAACAGCCTGATTCCGTCCTATTCATGTGCAGCCTTCAGATACTTACAGGCATTGATGAGGTCCCCTCTCAGCCTCTTCTCAAGGCTGAACAGGCCAAACTCCCTCAACCTTTCCTCATAAGAGAAATTCTCCTGTCCCCTCATCACCTTTGTAGCTGCTCCGCTGGACCTTCTCCAGTAGTTCCTTGTCTCTTTGGTACTGAAGAGCCCAGAACTTAACACTCCAGATGTGCCTCACCAGGGCTGAGTAGAGGGACAGGACCACCTCCCTCCTGCTGGCAACACTCTTCCTAGTGCATCCCAGGATCCCGATTGGCTTGCTGGCCTCAAGAGCACACTGCTGGCTCACAGACAGCTCGTTGTCCACCAGGACCCCCAGATCCTTCTCCACAGAGCTGCTCTCCAGCAGGCCAGCCCCCAGCGTGTGCTGGTGCTCGGGCAGCACCTGACACAGAACTGGCCCGGTGACGGGAAACCACAGGGAGCCAAGCAGCCTGTTCAGACAAGCCAACACCACTGTTTCCCCATCATTTGTCAGTCAGGAGATAAGGGATAAATCCACTGTGCTGTACCATTGTCTTCCGCAGAACACGAAGTGCATTTTATGTTCACCTCAGGTACGTGCAGCTGAGTACAAAACAGCATTAATGCAGTAGCAGTTTTGCTTACATTGTTAATATGGGCTATCAAATTTTTTACATTACATTTCAGTCTCTTTTTTTCAGAATGCTTAAACTTCCAAGTAGCAATTCCTTTTTTTTTTAAGGTATAAATTTTAATAAAACCTTCAAATGCTCACAACTTATCAAGTGTGGACTCTGGAAACACACTGTACAAATGCAAAGTAAATAAAAATGTGTTAAAAAGTGACACTAGCTGCAGTCTCTTTTTAACTGTATTAGTCTTAATTTATTGTTATCTCTTTTTATAAATATGGGTAACTCTTATGTCTCAGAACAAGCCTATGACTTAATATCCAGCTCGGGTTTGAGTTAAGGGGAAGCTGAGGAAACTTGCCTTGAGGCTAATTTGGCCTTCCAGCCCCTCTACATAGCTAAAGCAGTATTTCTGTGCAGAACACGCTCTCTTTAGCAAAGCCGGTTGTAGCATAATTATCTGTTCTGGTGAGTGAAAGGCCGATATTTTGTTACACTCAATCAGTCTCTTATTCGTCTGTTTTTAATTTGTCTTCCTCCATGGTTGCTTGAGCTGCAGTGTGCAGAGGCTGAGTGCAAGGATGTTCTGCAGAGGCTGAGTGCAAGGATGTTAGTTTCCACTCCATTGGCTGAAAGTAAGAGGGCATCCTTCCTATCCACTGGCATTCCTTTTGCTTTTTTTCATCAGTACAATCATACCCATAGTATTCATATCAGCAGGGTAAGCAGCAGTTAAGTCTGCCACTCCGGGATCTTTGTAAGTAAATGTTTCAAACTTTAACCTGTAGCAATAGCGTTAGCATAGTAATGGGAAATTACCATGGGAAAAAAACAAAACAAATACAAAAGGCTGTCCTCACATCACACAAGTCTCCCCCTTCACTGATGCTAAACAGATTTCAAAATTTCTGCCAGTGTTAACCTCTATTCAACACCATTAATTCAAGACTTACACATTCTTTTCTTACATAACTACCATCAGTATTATGTTTTGTAGATCTGTGCATATCTTCCAGTTACAGGTACTTGTGCCCAGAGCTCAACAGTACATGAAAACCCAATGAGAATGCACAGAATATATGAAAGTTCCTCTCAGATAAAGCTTGAAAGGGTATACCCCCAACTTATTAATGCAGATACAAAAGATTTAACAGTATTTAAATGTATGCTTCAGACAAAATTTATGGCATAAGGAACTCTACAGTTATTTGTAAGTTTATAAACATTTTTGCACAGACTAGTGTGGTGGGTTGACCTTGGCTGACAATTTCACTCTCACTTAAATATTTTAGTTTCTGAAAACCAAAGATTTTATCCAGATCACACACTGAACAAACAGACCTATGCCTAGGTCAGACAATGCCTAGGTCTCAATGGAAGAGAAAGCTATACAAGGGTTAAAAAACAAGATCATAGTTAAAACGTTGTAATTCTATGTAGATTAGAACTGAAAAAAGTTTTAAGAGCCAAACTATAAAATAATAAGGCTACAAGTGAGCGAAGACGTCATATTACACTTGTACACTAAAGATGTTCCTGTATTATTTTCCCTAATTTAATAAAAACCAAGATGTTCTTAAAGAAAGTAAATGTTAAGTTTACCTTCCAAAATATCTTTATTATTGGCTTCCCAACATCTTGGATAAAATAAATCTGATCCGAGAAAAACAATCACCAGTATCAGATTGGGCAGATTGCAATGCACATGGAACTAAAGACACTGGAAAATAAATAAATTGTACGTTTAGTTAAGTGGTCCTGTTTATGTTTGCATTATTTTGGATACTGAGTTTATATATATTTGAAATGTTTGTTACATTTGCATTTTTTATTTACTTATCCAAATTTACAGACTGCCTCCAAAAAATAACAAATCCCTACTATGCCTCAGCTATGTATTTATTACACAGTTACTATTACATGTCCTGAAAAATTAGTTAATCCAGATAGTAAAGCCTTATTTAAGGCATAAAGCTTTTTACTACAAGTAATTAAAACAGCAAAGGGGGCCCAAGATGTCTGAACAGTGTTTTGTGGATTACATACCATACACAGTAATCACCTCTAATGGATTGCCTCATCTTACACAATTTTTTAAATGCACTGCAAACTTTGGATTTGTTTATTTTAGCTGGGAAAAGCTTCAAAGCCTTTAGAGTATGTTGATAACAATTTAAAGGAATCGGTAAGGAATGAGGATCTAGTTAATACACTCTGCGGGATTTCCAAAAGGCTTCTCACCAAGTCTCCTAAAAGCTTTTTAAAAAACCCTTAAGCCTTAAAAGGAGTCTTAAGCCTAAAAGAACGACTTAAGAGCAAAGTCCTATAAATAATTAACAGATAGGAAATGGGAGAGGGGAATATGAGTTAATGGTTAACTCCTGCAATGGAGGAAAGTTGCCACTATAGTTCTGCAGAGATCAGTGCTAGGACCTGGCCAATCTAGTGCATTCCTAAATGTAATCCTGTGGAAAAGAAAGGGTAACCGTGAGAAGAAAGAGACGAGCAACCTTGCTGATGATTCTAAGTTAGACAGGCTAGTACGAATGTGGTCTGTCAGACAAATTGTGCCAGGACTTTATGGGACTGAATGACAAAATAACAACATGAAGGAATTAAACATACACAAATACTTGAAATCCATGAAGTTAAAAAAAAAAAAAAAAAAAAAAAAAAAAAAAAAAAAAAAAAAAAAAAAAAAAAAAAAAAAAAAAAAAAAAAAAAAAAAAAAAAAAAAAAAAAAAAAAAAAAAAAAAAAAAAAAAAAAAAAAAAAAAAAAAAAAAAAAAAAAAAAAAAAAAAAAAAAAAAAAAAAAAAGAGAGAGAGAGAGAAGGATTTTGAATGCTACAATGTGAGGACCCTGATTCATGTGTTTATTAAGCATCACATATGTCTCATTTCTTGTGGGACAGATACCTATTTCATTCTTTAAGTTACTTTAGTTTTGAAAATGTTCTTGCTGTTGTTTCTAACTGTCTCAGTCAACACAGGCAGGCACCCAGAACAACCACAAACTCTCAGTTAGAACAAGAAGAATAAATTTATTGGCATTGACTTTCTAACCAGGGGATCCCCAAAGCAGCAGAAGCACACAAGCGGAGATGACCCCTGCAGGAGGATCACTGGCCTGCTGCTCACAGAGGCTTATCAAGAGTTATTCCCACTGCAAGGTTGCTTGAGTGATTTACAGTCCTCCTCAACAGCCTTTCAATTTTTAATCTGTTCCTCCCAACACAAATCCAACAGGACAGCTTGAATCTTGGCTACATGACTAAAAGTATATTTAGGTACCACTATACATGTATACCACGTGTGGGTTTTTAGTTAGGCAAATTAACATTTTGTGTTACAAAAATGTATCATTATGCTAACTGATTAAAAAACAAACAAACAAACAAACCCAACAACAAACAACTACCCCACAACTAAGTGCAAGAGGTACATTCACTGGGTTTGCTAATGTAGCATGGTAAGGCAATAGCTCCATCTAAAGACACTCTGGCTGTAAAAAGCAGCTTGAAAAGAGATTTTGCAACAAGACAATTCTCTTGATACCATAAGGGGGGGCCAAAACACCAAAACAGGAGTGAAAAACCTGCCAAACCATAATTAATATATATATTCTGTTCAGTGAAAAGCACCAAGATGTTTTTTAATGATAGCTACTCATAAGATGCTGAAG